GTTAACTGACCAGCCCATCACACCTGTTAATGCCTTTATGCTGCTCGCTTTCATCAATATTCTACGACTGAGAGTATATTTTCGCTTAGCCTACAGTTTGGTGGCGGCATAGGAAGCGTATGTGTCCCTCCAGAGGATAGAGCACTTAATTCCTTCTTTTAAAGAACCTGCAATCTGTGTCATGCAATCGTTCTTCAAACTGCACAAGTGACTCGTGGAGTAGCTCGGAAAAGATAGGAAGTGGTCGGATAAATAATCAAGAGGAAACTCCACGAGTTCCACGGAGTCTTGGTGGACTAAAGGGCAAACGGGCAGTCTGTCTGCGTGTCAAATTTGACATACAAACCATTCGAGCGAGGAATGAAAGCTATTCTACAAGAGAAACTGCGGAACTCAACATGCAGTTATCACTATAGCTCATCGTTTGAACACCATCAGAGACTGTGACAAGATCCTGGTTTTCAGGGAGGGGAAGCTAGTTGAAGTTGGCACCTTTGATGCGCTACTGAAAAGCGAGGGAAGTGAACTGAGTGGACTTGTTCGAGCTTCAGACGACGGAAATTAAAGCAACCTCTGCAAGAATCCAGAATTTGACTCTAGCCACATGCTTTCAGTCTTTTGGGGAATAGTATTGCCTAACACGTAACGATGTATATGTGAAATAAGCCATACACGCGAACTATTCCAGGCCTTCATTGCAACAAAAAGTATATTAAGATTTAAGCCCGGTCCTCACTAGCGACGCAAGCNCAACCTCTGCAAGAATCCAGAATTTGACTCTAGCCACATGCTTTCAGTCTTTTGGGGAATAGTATTGCCTTATTCGTAACAATGTACATGTGAAATTAGCCATACATGTGAAGTATTCCAGGCCTTCGTTGCAACAAAAAAGTATATTAAGATTTAAGCCCGGTCCTTACTAGCGACGCAAGCATAAGCGTAAGCATAGGCACAGACACACGCACAGGGAGTTGTCTGAACTTTTATAGCATGTAAAAGTTTAAAACTTTCTTTTACCTTAAATTGTGTATTAAAACGTGCTAACAACTTAACAACGATTTCAAATTGACTCGTTTTGCCTTCGACTTGCGCCAGAAATTTGACGCCGTTCCACATGAATAGAAGTCGTGCCCGAACTCGTCAGACACACAGTAGGGATATAGTAAATATTTTGCAAGCTTCGTCTTCTCGGTCCGTACTGTAAGTTAGGGATCCTCGCTTTTTCCCTCCGATCTAAAGCCCGGCGCTTTACGCGTTGGCCATAAATCGAAGGGGAAAAAGAGGATCCTTAACTTACAGTACGGACCAAGAAAGTAAATGCCCGGACTTTTCCGTCGACTGGACTTTAGATACTAAACTAAGGGAATCTAATATAAATCATTAAATCTGATTATTTTTACCAATAACAAAACTCTACCAGTTCAAAATAGTAAGTAAGTAACTACGCAACTAAGAAACTTTATTTACGTGTCGAAC